GCTCTCTCTCTCATGTTTCTCTCTGGTCTCTCTCTGGTCTCTCTCTGGTCTCTCTCTGGTCTCACTCTAGTCTTACTCTGGTCTCACTCTGGTCTCACTCTAGTCTTACTCTGGTCTCACTCTGGTCTCACTCTAGTCTTACTCTGGTCTCACTCTGGTCTCACTCTAGTCTTACTCTGGTCTCTCTCTAGTCTTACTCTGGTCTCTCTCTGGTCTCTCTCTCTGGTCTCTCTCTAGTTTTACTGTGGTCTCACTCTGGTCTCTCTCTAGTCTTACTCTAGTCTCTCTCTGGTCTCTCTCTCTGGTCTCTCTCTAGTCTTACTCTGGTCTCACTCTGGTCTCACTCTGGTCTCTCTCTAGTCTTACTCTGGTCCCTCTGATCTCTCTCTGGTCCCTCTGGTCTCTCTCTGATCTCTCTCTGGTCCCTCTGGTCTCTCTCTGGTCCCTCTGGTCTCTCTCTGGTCCCTCTGGTCCCTCTGGTCTCTCTCTGGTCTCTCTCTGGTCTTACTCTGGTCTCTCTCTGGTCTCACTCTAGTCTTACTCTGGTCTCTCTCTGATCTCACTCTAGTCTTACTCTGGTCTCACTCTGGTCTCACTCTAGTCTTACTCTGGTCTCTCTCTAGTCTTACTCTGGTCTCTCTCTGGTCTCTCTCTCTGGTCTCTCTAGTTTTACTGTGGTCTCACTCTGGTCTCTCTCTAGTCTTACTCTGGTCTCTCTCTGGTCTCTCTCTCTGGTCTCTCTAGTTTTACTGTGGTCTCACTCTGGTCTCTCTCTAGTCTTACTCTGGTCTCACTCTGGTCTCTCTCTAGTCTTACTCTGGTCCCTCTGATCTCTCTCTGGTCCCTCTGGGTGGCACGGTGGCTGAGTGGATAGCACTCTCGCCTCTCAGCAAGAAGGTCCTGGGTTCGAATCCCGGTTGGACCAGGGCCTTTCTGAGTGGAGTTTGCATGTTCTCCCCGTGTCTGCGTAGGTTTCCTCCGGGTGCTCCAGTTTCCCCCACATACATAAAAATATGTACAATAGGTCTGGCATGTGCCTCCTGTACTGGCCCCACTCCCAAAAATAACAATTGTAAACCGCTTTGAGACTCCGATGTGCAGTGAAAAGGCGGTATATAAATAAAGATTACTTACTCTGGTCTCTCTCTGGTCCCTCTGGTCTCTCTCTGATCTCTCTCTGGTCCCTCTGGTCTCTCTCTGGTCTCTCTCTGGTCCCTCTGGCCTCTTTCTGGTCTGTGAATCTAATCTCACAGAGGTGTAACTAGATTTGTAATACTGAAATACATGGACTCATGGTCCTTCTGGTCCCTCTGGTCTCTCTGGTATCTCTGGTCCTTCTGGTCCCTCTGGTCTCTCTGGTCCTTCTGGTCCTTCTGGTCTCTCTGATCCTTCTGGTCTCTCTGGTCCCTCTGATCCCTCCGGTTGCTCTGGTTCTCAGGTGGATGTGATCGTGAACACCATAGGATTGGACAAAAACCTGAACATGGGTTTAGTGTCTGGGGCGTTACTGAAGAAAGCAGGCCACAACTTGCAGATGGAGGTCTACAGCACCCCCCCCTTCTCCTCTGTGTCTGTGGTCATTACAGGAGGCCATAAACTGGACTGCAAACAAGTTTACCACATCTGCTGCCCATTCAAATCCATGACTGGATCTGACCAGGTACACACACACACACACACACACACACGCAACCCCTGTGTCATAAAATAATATGTAAACTAAGTAGAATAAACAAGAAGCTACAAAATCTCAGAATATAGTTATAATACAGTAAGTCATATGTAATAAATGTGTCATAAGAATGTAATAGTAATGTAATAGGCTAGTAATCAGAAGTGGAGGGAGTGGAAGGAGACTGAATTAGTTTGGTTGGTACCATGTATTAACAAAAGACAAATTGACAAACAATAAAGTGATACACAAACTTTTATGGCCATTCAATGCTAACACGTGTTTCAATCAATAATCATTCAGCACTGCACAAGTCTAATGTATAGAAAAGATTACACAATATTCACATTCAAAAGCAACCAGCAAAACACTATACCAGCCCGCGGCACAGTTCATCAATAACCCACTCTGGGTCTGACCAGTTGACCAGAGGGAGGCGGTGCACAAGAGTTTGCGAGGTGTGGATAAGTGGATTGGCAAAAGTTCTGTGCGAAGTGGGGAGAGAGTTTGTGGGCTGCAAGGAGCCCCCTACCGGCCAGCAGGGGAGATGCGAATATGCGACTCAAGATCCAATGGGCTCTGTAGGCTCTAGGCCTGGTCCTTCAGCTCGCCATCAGGGTCAAAACCTGGCCAATTGCTTGTATTGCTCCTCACAAGCGAGCTGATCACTATTGATCAGCTGGGCGGCACGGTGGCTGAGTGGATAGCACTCTTGCCTCTCAGCAAGAAGGTCCTGGGTTCGAATCCTGGTCGGACCAGGGCCTTTCTGAGTGGAGTTTGCATGTTCTCCCCGTGTCTGCGTAGGTTTCCTCCGGGTACTCCGGTTTCCCCTACCACTAAAAATATGTCCAATAGTTCTGGCATGTGCCTCCTGTACTGGCCCCGTTCCCATCTCTGTGTGGAGTGAGAGACAAATGCCCAAAATTAACAATTGTAAACCGCTTTGAGACTCAGATCTGCAGTGAAAAGGCGGTATATAAATAAAGATTACTACTACTACTATTGTTTGGCACAAATAGAAGGCTCCTGCAGCCACTCCCTGCACAGCTTCCCCACAGCACTCCCTGAACCTGCTCTCCTCCAACCAATGAAACCATGCATTGGCTAGAAGGGATCTGATTGGCTAAGGGGTGGAGCAATATATATATTATATTGATATATTATAATTTCAAGTTTTTTTTTTCAAGTGTATAAACAGGAAGTGTGTTTCAGATGATGTACCGAAGTGTTCAGGATTGTCTCAGGTACGCTGTCTCCTACCAGCACCGCTCTGTTGCGTTCCCCGCCATTGGCACGGGGAACTTGGGCTTCAGTGACCAGGAGGCAGCACGCATCATGCTCTACGCCGTCAGAGACTTCAGCCAATCACAGCAGCCCATAAACGTGCACTTCATCATATTCCCCTCGGACACTGAGAGGTTCAAGGTGAGAGAGAGAGAAGGGGAGGGAGAGAGAGAGAGAGCAGAGAGAGAGACCAGGGAGAGAGAGAGGGGGAGGGAGAAGGGGAGGGAGAGAGAGAGAGAGAAAGGGGAAAGTGGGGGGAGGGGGTGAGAGAGAGGGAGGGAAGCCCCAGGACACAGAGGGACTATTTCTCTCTGCAGGAACACCTTGGGGTCTGATGAGCTGGAGGAAGTGTATGAGAGGGAAGTCTGGGCGTCTCTGCTTAGATTACTGCCCCCACAACCAGGCAACGGATGAAGCGGAAGAAAATGGATGGATGGATACTTTTCAAATACATAACTGACTGTATCTCAAGCGGGATTCAATCCAACTATCCCTATTTCAGAATCCAGCAACTGCAGTTCCAACGTATATTATCTTAAACAAAGAAAAACCTGGAAATATGAAACTTTTACTAAAGTAGGACTGTGGTTGTGTCCTTAGTAGGGCTGGGACAACGCGTCGACGTAATCGATGACGTCAACACAAAAAATACGTGGACGCAAAATATGCGCGTTGATTCGTCAGACTCAAACCAAAGATGGCGGCGAGTAGTAGCAGCAGTAGCAATGCGGGTGCCGTCTGGGGCATTCAGACCGCCGACGCTGGAACGCAGTTTCCCCGCACAGTCAATTTCAGACGGTAGGGGTGTTCAGACCAGAAGTCCTGCTGCGGTGGCGCGTGCCGGAAGTGGCAGAAGTAGCGGGCGGACTTTGATGCTAACGGAGTTAAGCTAGCGGCTTTTTGTGTAAAGTTCTTCTCAAATAATGCAGCTCTGCAGCGTCTCTGTGTCTGAGACCTTCACAGACTTTATATAACAGCAGTATGTGTTCATGGAGGTGACTTTATATAACAGCAGTATGTGTTCACTGTGACTTTATATAACAGCAGTATGTGTTCATGGAGTATGTGTAATAATAAAATAAGTTTATTTTATTATTAGACGTACTTCTGCATCGGTGAGCATGCTAGCTGCACTAGTTTACAGTCATGGGAGAATGACAACTCGGGCTGGAGGCACATGTTCACGCGCAGACAGAGAGACAGACAGTTTTCTTAAGGGGAAAGGAAAGTGTCCGAGTCTAAGTTGTTATTTGTTATTTGTGAATGAATTTTCAGAAAGCTAGGCCTATGTTCAACATAACTGTTGAATGCTTATTTTCACTATTTATTTTTGGTTGGACAAGCACTTTCTGTATTAGCGTAAAACCCCCAAGTTTACAATTATTTTGAATATATACATTATTTTGCTCTTGTCTTTTTGAATTTGAAGAGCAATAAATATATTTTGTTAAGGAATTCATGTTTTTTCATTCAGATATGTAAATAATAGGGCTGTCCAACAATTAACATTTTTAATTGAGTAATTACAGCTTAAAGATTAATTAATCATACTTTATCGCATTTCAAACTATCTCAAAATGATGCCGTATTTTTCTGTAAATGGTTGTTTGAATGGAAAGATACATGTGTAAAGTATTTGTAGTCACCAAAACTAGTGTTTGTTACAGATGAGGGACATTTCAAACAGTCTGAGGCACAATGTCATTACATCTGTTTGATTTGCTCACACCAGTACTTTTTGGGCACAACCAACATGAACTGGTAGTGGAAGGGAAAATTAGGTACCCCAGCTTTAATTTAGCGTAGTCCAGCTTCAGCGCTGTAGATGTGTGTACCGGTTACACAAAGACACGCACACTACAATCAGAGAATAGTTCTGTGGTGTACGGTCTTAGATATGACGTTACTCGGCGCCGTTGGCCGTGATCAGAGCCGCTGGAGGAACCGCTGTCCAGAGCGCCGCAGCTCGCAGAGTTCATACAGGAAACAACAGCAGGTGCCTCGCCGCGAGTGTTCTTTCAAAACATGAATTCCCAGAGACCGG